TATGGCAAATCTGCGATTTTTCAAGCCATTTCACTGTGCAAGGACTTCTTTGTGCGGACGACCACAGTCGCTGCCAGCACACCATCCCCATCGGCGTCTACTCCCGAAGCTGCCCAGAGTTCGGGGGCCGGGAGGTACTACTCACACCGCACTGCACTGTCCATTGAAGTTATCGTTTCACCTCTTATTTCTTTAATGAAAGAATGTGAACCAAACTTGTCACACACAGTAAAATGATATCTTCAGTATAAGAAATAGCTAGGAAAACTCTTGCACAGGAACCATGCAGAATGTACTGCATAGAAGATATCTACCCTTTTTTGCACATCTATTACATTATAGACCTAAGCAGAATTTATACCAGAATTTGATGTCCTTTTCATTATTTTAATTCACTTGCATGCAGCTAGCTCAGCTAGCCCTGCAAATTCAAAGCTCCATGAACGCATCGTTTTCACACGTACACAGATATTCGAGTGTTGTACAATAACAATTCCGACCAGCTGATCGTGCGAACCACTAGAGTCTATGCGTAGGTTAAAATGAAAAACAAGGGAACAAAATTTTACTATAAATCTACTAAAGTAGCAAAATAATAAATACCCTAGTCAATAAGAAGAATATTGTTTTTGATAAATTCATATTTTATTCGAAATTGAACTAGATATTATTTTATTTTTTTAGTACATTTGAATACCGATTCCCCCACAATTTCATGGACGAAGGCATTCTAAACACCGCGCGGTAGGATTGGCCACGATCATCACTAGCTGCTGTATATGTAAGACCCTAATGCATATGCAAATAATGATGAGCTCCGCAATTTAGCAAAGGCCAAGCCGCTGAAGCGGCTCGGTCCAGCGATCACTGCTGTAAAGCCACACTGCGTTAGTCTATTTTCAGACCCTGCTCGGCAGACAAGCAGCGCGCGAGGCCTTGTCCAAAGGCTAGGCTCGCCGTGGTACGAGAAAATAAGACGCGCGCCGCGTGTACAAAGATTTATGTTTATTGTGACGCGGAGTGCAATTTCGTTTGATCCTTTCGTACCATTGCACTCTGACGTCATTTAGCTCACAATATACTTTGTACATCGTTAGTGACGTCAGAGTGCAATGGTGCGAAAGGATCAAACGGAATTGCACGGCTGGAGAATGATGCCGCTCAATGGTACTTTTAGTGCACGTCATGTGATCAAGAATGGACCAATGAGGTTGCAATAATCTTAGTAGGCGTTGTATAAAACGTATTAATAATGACATTCACATTAATGTAAATTCTTTTTAGAGTAGGGTTGTTTCATATTTTCTAACACAAATATAAGTGATGTTATGTTTAGCTCGTTACATAAGTCTTCTGAAGAGAAATGACATCCCTAAACATCTAAAACGTTCATTTGAAGGAAGTAGAACTCTTCCGGTAAAGAATTTCATAATTCAAAAGATCTTACTGGCGTCACTGCAAAGAGATCCATGAAAACCCGCAGCACATGTACATGCAGATACAGAAAAGGTCCACCTTATTTGTCCACACTACTGTAGGGCCCCTGTCGTGATGTAGGGGCAGCGCTTTTGACGGGTGTCCAGGGGATGGGACCACCGGACTCATCTTAATTAAGTCTAACAATTTAAGGTAATACAAAGTTTTGGAAAATTTTGAAAATTGGGTGGGTAGTGATTCCTAACAATTTGAATATATTTGGATGCCTCTGTGGATGTATTCAAAGCACTAAAAAATTTAACCCCTAAAACACTTCTGCTTTTGAGAAAAATTGAATATAAAAATTTACCGGTGCATGCTCCCGATAAATTTTGATAAATTTCAAAAATCGCCTACGGCCGTACATTGGTAGCTGCGTCCATGAAAATCTCAGAATATGTAGTTGTGATATATAATTTCCAAACGGGATTAGCTAATCGGTCGATTTTAGTCAAGAAACATTGTTTTATAGCTTAATAAATATCTTGACCTTGAGAGGGAGCTATACAACATAAAGAGTTTATTATTTACAATGTTTTAACTTTAGACTCCATTTCAACCGCGACAACGATCACTGAATATTGTAGGCTCGCATATGCTTCCAATATGTTTATTCGAACCAAATTCATGACCCCATACCAAAACTTTGCATTACCTTTAATCTCGAACCTAAAAGATTGCCCTCACGAGCGATAGAAATTACAATTTTCTCCTTGAAATTCACACAGCCCCCATCCTTTTTTTGTTAAAAAAACAATCGTTTCTCTTTCTCCCTCGAAGAAATGCATTATGGGGGTACTATTCTACTTTCATCTAAAATCTTCGTAGGCACACGTCGAGCCTTTTGCAACTTATCTGCAATGTAATCTGTATGTTTAGAGTTAACTTTAATTTGCCCTTCCCCCCCCCCCCGTCTCTCTCTCCCATTTTTCTTTTTCCCTTTTTATTCTTCTCCTTTTCTCTTTCTTTTCTTCCTCGCTCTTTTTTCTGTTTTCCTTCTTTTTGAGGCCGCCACAAAATTGGTGAAGGACCGCAACCGATTCGTCTCTCCCCGATCCGCCCCGATCCGCCGATCCGCCAATTGCGGTAGGTTGAGGTTTCCATCCCATTCAATACGTTGACGTTGACGTTTTCTCTTTCTTTACTTTTTTTTTTTATTTCCGTCGCTCTCCCATTTTTTAGGCTGCCAAACGCTGTGGATTGACTGGTGACGTTCTTTATAATTTTAATTAAGTTGTATACACTATAAAGAGACGATGACATTACAGTATTCTTACCTGCTCTGGTTCCTTCGAATCCTGCTGACCAAGGTTGATAATCAAGGGAAGCATCCCAAGAATTGAAGAAAGAAACAAGTGTTAGTGTGGTCAAAGAATATGAATGTATATTTCCACATTAGATCTCTTATCTCTGTTTTTACTTACCCCCGAAAAAACAACAACAACAATTGTCTTGAAAGTCAAAGCAAGTGAATAATGATACATTGTTATGTTACTAATGTTCAATTATCCCTTATTGAGACCTATGTAGAATGTCATTATTATCAGATATGCATTTTTTAAATGTCATTATGTTATGCACTGTATAAAAATAGTAAATAAATAAACTTGAACTTTTTTCCCTTCTTTTTTATAACTTATTATGGTCTGCGAATCTACCTCACACCCCAGTTGAATTTCTACGCTACACAAATGGTGGGTTCACCCTGTTCAGCATTTTGCTCAGTTTCTTTTGAGCATAACGTATGAAAATATTTAGGAGACAGAACTTGCTCTATTTAAAAAAAAAAAACACACCAATATTTAAAAATGAATAGGTTCGTCAACTATTCTACAACTAATGTCCAACCATTCGGTGTATGTGGAAACTATTCTGTTGTAATTCCTCAACAACTCTTCTTGCTATTCTGGAGCGGGAGCGAATGTCTGAAAATGCCTGTCAGCCGCTTTTGTAATCTATTCGCAACTAAAGTGAGATATACCTCAGTTACACCGTGAGACCGATCCTAGACTGAACCAACACAGAACCAACATTACATGACTCCGAATGACCAAGGACCGGTTGGTTACAAAATGTTTACTGTTTCAACTAACTTGTCATTAGACGGCGCTATATATACAAGTTCTCATATTCGAAATTGAGTTGGTCGATAACTGTATTTGATTTGCGGTTGTGAAACGGGGACCAATCTCATTATCTCTATGGAATAAGGATGCTCTCAAAACGGCAACATATGCCTACCCGTAGTAAATCGAATCGCAACGTGTGTTCATTTGACTTACAACACGACGTAAATGTAATAAAATCAAATGCACAATACGTAACCATACTTGCATAGAGCCAATATTCTGAACAACATGTATCATATAGCACCCATGCAGTCTCAATAAACTATTTTAAATATAAATCATTTTAATGCTTTATTTGCAAGGATATTGTATTAATCAAAGATTTATCTGCATTTAATTGTTACACAGGTCAGACACGGCTTCCTAACTGAATTTATATTTCGACGTTGCATTTTATTACTGGTTTTATAAACATAAACATTGTAAACGCTTATTATACTGTCAACCACGTTTCCTCATTCTTTCTTCTTTCTTTCTTCTTTTCTCTTTCTCCTTCTATTTTTCTTCCTTTCTTCATTTCTCCCATTTATAATGTATAATTGTATTCGTGTATTCGGGCGTACCCAGTACAAGCTATGCTTATCGGGTTTCGCGCCTTCTTCCTTGTAATACAGGTTCTTTAATTATATTTATGTTCCTATTTATAAATTGTATTGTTTGAACAGATGTCAAATATGTTGTCAAATTGAATGGAAGAAATAAATGTTTATTTGAATTGAATTTAATTGAAATTCACTACTGTATGTCTTACTTATGTATTTGCCTATTTAACATGGTACTATTTGCATGCATCTTATATGATGCAGGCTTATTTGTAAAAGGCATCACCTTTTAGCTGTAACTTTGAATTTTTATCAATACACCTTGTCAACTTACTTCAATTCAATTCAATAAATAAGACACGTCACAACACGACGTTAATATTTTAGACACATCTTAATTCGAATTGCAATACAACCTTAGGTAGACAGTGTAATATGTGATCTTATACATTGACTCAATGCTACATGCTATACACACACACACACACACAGTTAATGTACACTGTGGTATATGGGCTCTTCTTTACACAATATAACCAGGCATGCTGGATTGCAACCTAACTCTGATGTTTCTCTATGTGTCTTCATTTGAGTACTTACCATACAGCTAAACAACCCCACATTATATGGTGACAGCGATATAGAACCTACTGGACAATATTTGTGAACTTTGCATCATTTTGGAGTGATTTTGGAGGCCATCTTATTGGCACACTGTCATTGGATCAACAGGTGCTCCTTTCTACGGTCCCATATGATGATTTTACTGTGAGTAAAATATGCATTGACATTTGCATTACTATTGGAGTTTGAACAGCTGGTATGAACTATGAACGAATCATTTACACCCCGCATGAATTGGGAAGACCCCGACAGAGCCAATGCTGTTAAGATTTTTCATCAGCAGTGTGACTTATACTTCTCGGTCAAGAATGTTGCGATTGGAAAGCAAGTGGATCATGTTCTTTTGTTGGTGCCATGTTCTGGTGCCACAAGTATCAAGCTTTACAACTCGTGGGGTCTGGAAGGTGAAGATAAGAAGAATCCAACTGTTGTTTGGGAGAAGTTCGAGACACAACTGAGGCCAAGGGCAAATTTCCGTGTAGCTAGGCTATACCTTCAGAAATATGTACAGAAGGAGAGGGAAAGTGCAGATGATTATATCTCGCGCCTGAAGCTGCAGGCATATGACTGTGAATTTCGTGATGACACTGAGCTCCAAGAACGCATCATTGAGCAGTTCATCACAGGCACTAGATATCCTGAGCTCCAGAAAGATCTTCTAGGGAAGAGCAAGTCCCTCACTCTTACACAGATGCTTGAGCTGAGTAGAACATTTGAGGCATCACTGATGCACATGGCTCAACTAGCTCAAGTGCAGACACATATTCAGCCTGCATCGATTGATGTAGTTCGTCGGAAGACTAACACTAGTAGCAAGTGTCCTAATTGTGGTGGAAATCATGCTCGCAGTCCACGGGAAGCATGTCCGGCTTATGGCACCAAGTGTAACAGCTGTGGAAAGTTGAATCACTAGAGGAGTGTTTGTCGATCTCCAGCTCCAAGTACCCAGTGGTCTGGGAGATTTCCAGCTTCAAGTACCCAGAAGTGGAAGCAGAAAGCTAATTACGCTACGCCCCATCGTGGAGGCAAGCATGTGCACTCCATCCACAGCACCAACAATATTGAGGCAGCAGCAGCGGTTCCACTACTGAATGACGCAGTGGATGTCCTGTCATTCAATCGAATTATTGTGTCAGGTATCAGTGCTGTAGAGGTGGATGACAGGGACGACCTAACAATAGCGTATGTGGAGGTCAGACGGGATGAGAGAACCATAATGAAACTGCGTTCGAAGGTTGACTCCGGTGCGGAGGGCAACACACTTCCTCTTCGGATGTTTCGTGGGATGTATCCTGGCCATCTCACTAAAGATGGAGTTCCTCACCCTCAATCGGTGCATAACTCAAGTGCACGGCTGTTCGCTTACAACGAAACCCCAGTGATGCACTACGGTTCAGTGAGACTACCCTGTCGTTTCAACAACTCAACTTGGCTCTATGCTACATTCTACATCGTAGAGTCCAGGGGTCCAGCGATCATTGGATGTGACACAGGCTTGAAACTGAAGCTGCTTACTCTACACACACGCATCAACGAGATCAAGCATTCAGCACAGATAAGCTCTACTGATGACCTAGTAAGGCAGTATCCAGACCAGTTTGACAAAATTGGCAACTTCCCAGGAGAATATCATATTGTTCTTGATCCAGACGTTCAGCCTGTTGTCCATGCTCCTAGACGGTGCCCAATCCACCTACGAGATGAACTGAAGCTTGAGTTTGATGACATAGAAGGTAATGGCGTGATCACTAAAGTCATTGAGCCTTCAGCATGGGTCAGCAGCATCGCTGTTTCAAGGAAGTCGAATGGCAAACTCCGTGTCTGCTTGGATCCCAAGGATCTCAACCGAGCTATTCGACGTTGCCATTATCGCACTATCACATCAGATGAGGTGATACACAAGCTATCAGGTGCTAGACACTTCAGCAAACTCGATGCCAAGAACGGTTATTGGTCTATCAAGCTCGACCATGACAGTTCACTTCTAACTACCTTCAACAGTCCCTTTGGACGGTACAGATATCTCAGGATGCCTTTCGGTCTAGCAATGTCTCAGGATGTATTCCAGCAGCGAATGGACGAAATCCTCAAAGGTTGCCCCGGCAAAATAGGGATCGCTGACGATATTGTTGTGTTCGGCAAGAGTGAAGCAGAGCACGATCAGAATCTGAACCACCTCATGTTCAAAGCTGTGAAGTACGGTCTGCAGTTCAATAGTGGCAAGTGCAGCATAAAGGTCAACCAGATTTCCTTCTTCGGTATGATCTACGATGCAGATGGCGTCCATCCGGATCCTCACAAGGTCGAGGCAATCAAGTCAATGTCTCCACCTGAGAACAAGACCCAGCTTCGTGAGTTCCTTGGTATGATAACTTACCTTAGCCCATTCATGCGAAATCTTTCAGCCCAGACTGCAAGCCTACGTGGTCTTTTGAAGCAGGACGCTGAATTCCAATGGACTCCAACGCACCAGACTGCCTTCAATGATTTACGTGACAAGGTATGTCACGATGCAACTCGGGCGTATTTCGATGTTAACAAGCCTACGGTACTGCAGGTAGATGCTTCTCTGCAGGGCTTGGGAGCGACTCTACTGCAGGATGGAAAGGGTATCGCGTTTGCATCAAAGGCCCTCAGTGATGCAGAGACGAGGTACGCCAACATAGAGCGAGAGCTGCTTGCAGTGGTCTTCGGCTGTGAACGATTCCACATCTTCCTGTACGGGAAAAGTTTCATAGTTGAGACGGACCACAAGCCCCTGGAGATAATCCAGCATAAGCACCTGGAAGCAGCTCCACCTAGACTCCAGCGTATGCTTCTTCGTCTACAGCCATACAAGCTGACAATTGTCTACAAGCCTGGTAAGGATGTACCAGTAGCTAACTGCCTATCCAGACGTCCTCTTGGTCCTCCAGAACACATCCACCTTGACCTGCAAATCAAATTTGTACAGTTTGCTCCAGACCGTTTGAGTCAGTTGAAGGAGGAAACAGCCAACATGGCTCTACTATGTATCTGTGCCACTCCCATTGACAGACGCATACCAAGCCCAGCTGAGCTTCTTTACGGGAGGAAGATGAAGGACAACTTACCAACTCGAATCCGCAACAACTCCCCTGGTCGTGATGATGTTAACCATCGCATGCAGCTTCGACAGCAGAGCCAGAAGTATCATCACGACAAATCAGCCCATGACCTAGCACCACTCTCACCTGGACAGCTTGTGAGAGTCCAAGACCAGACATCACATCACTGGATAACAGCTACTGTTCGTGAGCAATGCCATGAGCCTAGGTCATACCTCGTCGAGACGCCTAATGGAAGGGTGCTACGCAGAAACCGGCAACACCTCGCTGATATTGAGCCCAGGCGTATCCATCATGATGAGGAGGTAACCAAGACACCTGATCCTCCTACACACGAAGAGATGACGCTTGATCCAACGCCCGACATCGGAGGTTCTCCTGCTCCAACCCCTGCCCCAAGCCCCAACCACCAGCAGACTACCCGCAGTGGCCGGGTGATCAAAAAGCCGGAGAAATTGACTTATTGATAGGACTTTATCTTTGACTTATTGATAGGACTTCATCTTTGGATATTTCAAGTTTGGACATTATGGACTCAGTTTATTTTTCTGTCGGGGGGATGTAATATGTGACCTTATACATTGACTCAATGCTACATGCTATACACACATACACACAGTTAATGTACACTGTGGTATATGGGCTCTTCTTTACACAATATAACCAGGCATGCTGGATTGCAACCTAACTCTGATGTTTCTCTATGTGTCTTCATTTGAGTACTTACCATACAGCTAAACAACCCCACATTATAGACAGTTTTTGTGAAGGCAGATTAAAAGTCATGTTAAAATTCGAATTAATACTTGTCTTAAATATTTTGTTGTGTTTTTAAAGTGACTCGGTAACACTGTTGAAGGTTGACGAAAAAAATGCGTAATTTGCGTATGAAATGTTACCTATTATATTCCTTCTAATGTTCTAACCCTCTAACATGCAACAAATCCTGAAAAATTCTCAAACCTCTGTGCGACACTCTTTAATAGTAAATTTTCCCTACGACTTCTGAATTTTACCAACCGTTTTTCTATGAAAAAAAGGCAAGAGGCAGGCTTTTAAACACTTTAAAGTCTGGAATGGAATTTAGAGCCCATTCATTGCTTTGTTATATTTTACATTTACCTAAAATATAATTAACTTGTAATCATATATTTTGAATAATTAAGGAATCGATCAGATCATTTTCCCAATTTTAATCATTAATAATGGTCTGTTTTCACTCAAACTTTCAGATTATCTTTAATTGTGCATCTAGCATTGAAGTCACTACCTAAGCACCATTTTCTCCCATCGGAACAATGTTACCAAGTCCCTTTAATACTACAGTACATGATTGACGATCAACAAAGTGGCTCATTATACCTGCTAGCCTTGCCCTTTTCCGGTCGTAGACACGAAGCCTTCCCAGTAACAATTGCCAAAATATTTTTAAAGATATCTAAACGAAAACGAAAAAATTAGGGCACATAAGGTTTTTTCAAGCGTTCCCAAAATAAGGAGATGGCAAATAATGACTTACCTGTAATGATTAACATTAAGACCAAGGCAATCGTCTTGTGATCCCCCATTCTTGTTAATTGTTTGAAATCCTGGAATAGAATAGATACACCTCAAATATGTCAATAAGCGCTATATAAAAGCTGAGTATTATTATTATTATTATTATTATTATGATATAGAAACATCTCCCCAATGTTTCTATTTTACAGAATTACTTAGAAAATGATCATCCAACATTTCTTTAGTTAGAAAGACACTTGGATGTAAATTCTCGTCAAAATATTGATGAATGATTCAGTGGTTATCATTTAATGTACAAGTACGAATTGTAGAATGTATATATACGTTAATTGTTACGCTGCAAGTCTATGACAACTTCGAACAGATAAATTAATTACAGTACAATTGTCTCATGGAATTAGAAATGACACAGACAAAGCTTACACTAATACATTCCCGAGATTTTGGAAAAATCAATTCCCTACCCATGGGTTGGATTGACCCTGTCATCGATAAACTGTTTTTAAAAATATGAAAAAAATATATTTACAACTAACAAGCAATCATGGAATATAAAATAATGTGCAAAGTAACGTTAATATTAGAGGGAGAAATGTATATAATATGTGCCTGACTGTGAGATTGATTTTCTTCAAATAGAAGTGAAGGCTGTTTTACGTCCTTTAAGATTATTAACATCTTGATGGCGTTGTTGTTTAAATGTATCGATATTCTGGGTATTTTTCGTAACACAAGTAGATTGCAAAATCTTATATATGCGTAATACCTATGCACCTGCATTATTGAAAGCATTACGATGGAAACATGACGGGAACTTTCAGAAAGGCCAAGTTTCTACTATAGTGACTACAATAACTTTAGCTTACGAAAGTTTATTGATTAAAAATACAAACAATTGAATGACTTGACGAGGGCTGAACACAACGAAGTATTAGAAGAAATTTCGAAAAACGCCCTCTATCGTCGATACGGTAAATAAATCCATTTTCATAGGTGAAGCAATTAGAATGATAGATGATATAATTCGTCATACATCAGTCAATGAAATACCTGGATATATGATGATAATTGATTTGAAAAGGCTTTCGATTCAGTTTCACAGACTTTTTTGCAGAAGGTTTTGTTTACATTTGGTTTTGGACCACCATTTTGTACATGGGTGGAGACTATATGTAATAATGCTCAAAGTTGTGTCTTTAATGGGGGCTCATCTACTGGGTACTTTGATATTAAGAGAGGTGTAAGACAGGGGGACCCCCTGTCCTCATATTTGTTTATACTTTGTATTGAAATCTTAGCTCGTTCAATATACATGTATAAAGACCCTGAAATTCAAGGATTTACTTTTAATAACGTACATGTAAAACAAATTCTTTATGCAGATGATATGACTCTCTTTATTCGGGACTCAAACTCATTTAAAAAAGTGGGGAAACTGTTTGAAAATTTTGCTAGAAATTCTGGATTAAAAATTAATAAAGAAAAAACTTTTATATTATTGTTAGGCCCTTCTCAAAATGAAAATATTGCTCTTCCTTTTGTTAAAGTAGTACAAATGGTCAAGATTTTGGTTATATTTTACTTTAGATGTTGAAATTCAGGAAAGGACAAATTATAAGGAAATTTCGAGTAAAATAAAAAAGTTGTCTTGGTGGAAACAAAGAGATTTAACTTTAATTGGGAAAATTCAATTGATCAAAACGTTTATTTTGTCAAAATTGATTTATGTATCGGCGCTGACACCAGTACCAAAATTGGATATTTAAAGATTTGGATAAACTGTTTTTTTACTTTTTGTGGAAAGGAAAAGATAAGATAAAACGAAATGTAATGTTCTTGGATTATTGTAGAGGTGGACTAAGATTAACGGACTTTCATCTATTTATTTTAGTGCAGAGGATTATGTGGGTAAAGAGACTTTTAAAAGGGGATGCAAACATGGGATGGAAACAATATTTTAATTATTTAACTAAAGATGCTGGAGGAATTTTGATATTTCATAATAATGCAACCGTAGGTATATCTGAATTAGTATTATCAGCATTTTATAGAGACATGTTGGATGTTTGGATGGCTACAAGAATATTTTTGTTAAAGGAAAGTGTTTCTAGGAGGAATGAGATTATCTATAATAATAGATTTGTTTTTATCGATGGTCATGTTCCTTTCGATGAGGGATTATTTAACAAAAATGTTTATAAGTTGCATCATATTGTTGATAAAGAAGGTAATATAAAATCTAATGAGGAATTTCAAAGAAAAGGTTTAAATAGTTTAGTTATTAGTAAAATACAACGTATTTTTCTTGGCATCCCGTCTTCATGGAAACAATTTTAAAATAAAAATACTCACTCAAATATAGATAGGGAATTAGATATGAATATTATTATGTTTGAAAAGGTATATATGTTAGATCAAATAACCTCACAAATTATATACGCTTTTTTATTAAATAAGAGAGTAGAAAAATCATATGCAGAACGACATTTAGAACAGACTTATAATATTCATGGAAAAGATATACGATTAACATTTTTAAGACTTAGAAAATGCACATTGAATAGTAAGCTTAGAGAATTTCAATTTAAAATGCTTTATATTATATATACTAAATTACATTTATATAAATTTAAAATGGTTAAATATGACAAAACTTACGAGCATTTATTTTGTCTTTGTGAGAAAGTAAAACCAATTTGGGAAGAGTGTGGGAATTTATTTAATTTAGTAGAGATTACAAATATAAATTGGAAAGGTATCCATGTAGGGATAATTGAGTTTAACATAGAGAAGGAACAGTTATTAAATCATATCATAATTTTGATAAAATATATGATATTTATAGATAGTAAAAATAGATAAAAACCACCAACTTATTTGGAGATTAAGAAAAGATTATTAGAAAATAGAAAGGAGGAGAAGAAATTAGCTGGGGACCGAAGTACACTCACATATCATTTTAGAAAGTGGGAAAATTTAGAATAGCTTCGTGCAGAATAAATAAAATAAGGAAGGCGAATAGAAGCAATGAAATGGACATGGCTGATAAAATGGTCGAGATTCTCACAAAATGTAGGCATGTTTTAAGTGTGTGTCTATGCACGTGTGTGTGTGTGTGTGTATGTAAGTATTTCCTTTTTTTTTTCTTCTTTTTTTTCTTCTCTTAAATGTCTTTTTATGTTCATGCCTTCTTCATGCATGCATGTTTCATGCTTTATTTGGGGTAAATTGCAAAAGTTCATTTGTACTATTTAGATGTGAATGTAAAATCATATTCTGTATAATGATATTAACATGCAGATTATTTTATGTATTGATTTTGTTTGGAGAAAATGAAATATCATTGGAGAGAGAGAAGGAAAAAGGAAAAAAACTTGTCAAATGTGGTCTAGCGCCATCTTTTGTTTAAAACATTATAGGAATATCTTTAACACTCATTACCATTGGTCTTTTCTGTTACAATATTTCAAAGTCGCAAACTGATGCAACTTTTAAGTTCTCAAAAGTTTAGTTTAGTTATTGCGTAGTATATTGTATGTAAGTTTATACTGTGTATAAATGAATTACATAGGTATGTAATAGTTTTTTTGTTGTTTTTTAAAAAATATTTTTGTAATGCCTTTTTATGTTCATGCCTTCTTTATGCATGCATGTTTCATGCTTTATTTGATGTAAATAGTAAAAGTTCTTTTGTATTATTTAGCTGTGAATGTAAAATAATATTCTATATGATAATATTAACATGAAGATTATTGTATGTATTGATTTTGTTATTGTTTGTTATTATAATTTTTGTTATTGTTTGTGAAAAGCAATGGAGAAAATAAAATATTATTGAAAAAAAAAATAAAAAAAATTCTAGTCAGTTATTAGGTTTTCTTCTCTGCACAGACAGTAAAAAGACAAGAGTCATCACAGTTGTTACCAGCATGCGGAGAAGCCTGCT